TCCATCATTTTGCAGTTGAAATGGATAGTTTTAACCGTAAGTTCTATGCTAATAGTTTCTTCTATCGCACTTCTCGCTTGTGGAACTCTCTTCCGGTTTCTTACTTCCCAGTCAACTTTTATCTTCAAATATTTAAATGCAGTGTCAATCGTTATCTTCTGTCTTCTTAATTCCTGTTCTTTTATTTATTGTTCTCTCCCTTTGTCTTTTTTTACTCTTAGTCTCATACTCAGTAACCCGTTGTGTTCTACTGGTTTTAGTGCTTTGCTTGCGGTGAAATGGTTGTATTAAGTGACTGAGATAGTTTGAAGAACAAAGGTATATTTTTGTCGCGTCCCATAAATAATAATAATAAAAAAAATGAAAGTAGACACGAAAATCCCAAATCGTTAAGTCGTTGTCTGCCCACGGTATCTGAGAAAAGAAGATGAAGAGTTTGGCCATTTCTTTGAAACGGAAGCCAGAAAATAAATAAACTTGCTGGCATAATTAGAAATATCTGTCCTCTTCGTTTGAAGTTTCGAGATAGAAAGAAAGATAGGGAATTTTCACCATGTTTCTGTCGTATAGCATTTCAGAAATTGCTTGGTGTGTGGCGTTGTTGCATACGTTATTTCCCGCGCTGAAGATAAAGAAGATGCTGGCACTCTTTTCACTTCAGTTCACTCCTTCAATACACGAACCAATAAACAAATAAGTTAAAGAAATGAGAATCTCGAATAAATATAGTTTTGAGTGATATTTCTGTAGTCGCTCGGTCAGTGAATTGTTCTGTCTATTGCCTCTTTTGGTGAATCACTTGCTTGGGCTTTAGTCAGATGCATTATCTTTTTTTGAGGAGCCAGAGAGAACCTCTTGAAATGACCAGAAACTGATCTTAGGAATAGCGTATTCTGACTGTTTTCCGTTTTGCTAATTCTGCTAGCCACTTACGGATGTTTCCAAAGAATCCAAAAAGTTAAAGATTTTACGCTATTTATATTTATATCATAATTTATATCATAATCTTTTATAATTATATCATAATTATTATAAACATATCATAATAATTTATATCATGATCTATTTTATATTTGGGCTGTTATCCTCATCTTTCAGTCTCTGTCTATATTTCTGAGATGAGGTATTATGTACACTATTTACATTATTCGGAATCGTGCCATGTGTCTTCAAAGATAAAGGCGTTGGTTAGATCCAGTGACAGGACCTAAAGAGTTGTGAGTTCCATACCTGGTTAAGGCAGTGGAGAACTTGGAGAGGGGAATTAACAGGAGACAACTGATAACTGACATCCATTAAACATGGCATGTGGAACTAGAACAGTCTACCCCAGCGAACGAAATAAAGGGTTCAGTTCGACATTCCAACCAACTGAAGAAGGCCGGAGCGTACAACGGCCGAAACGTTGTGATAAATATGTCAACAAAGATGAGGACAATAGTCCGAATAATTTAAATAGTGTATCCTCATCTTTGTTTTTATTATCACAACGTTTCGGCCGTTGTGCTCTGCGTCCTTTCTGAGATGATGAGCTATCAACCTCAAGTGATTCTCTAGTTTTTCTAGTCTTGTAAAAAGAGGGGAGATATAGACCTTTCCTTTCACATAGCACCATAAAAAAATTACAAGGTGTCAAGTAAGGGGGACGTGGTAACCATTTTCAACAGCACGTTGTCATTGTCACTGGCACACCCGATCCATCCTCCTGGTAGATTCTCATTGAGAAAAGTACGCACTGAGGTGCTGGAGAATGTTATGCAAGACAGGCTACAGCGTGTTTGACACGAGCTGGACTACCGACTTGACGTTTGCCGTATCACAGGTGGTGCGCATATTGAACATCTGTGGAGTTTTGTGAAATTGGTTTTAAAATCTACATCCCTTTGAATATTTTGTTCGAATTTTGATAAATAATTTTTTTTATTGTTCAGCATGAAGTGTATTTAATTTCGTTTGCTTAGAGCATGTAGTTACTCAGATATTCACATTTTAAATGATGTCAGTTTTTGGTGGGTACACCCTTTGAGTGAGTGTGTAATATATATATATATATATATATGTATACACGTGCGTGTGTGTAAGACCGCTTACCTGCAACGAGGTTATTTTCGTTTTTTTTTGTATTTTACAGGGTGCGATGGGTAAATTGTCGCCATTTTATATTTTTAATTTCGCGCTTGTCAACTGCACACTGTAGTAGTGTCAATAGAACACCGTCTGTGAAAAACAGAACACTATGACGCAATTCACTCCGTCAAAAATTTGGAAATGTCATGCTATACTGCTTGGCATTCGCGCCGGAAGCTCCAATACGAACTTCGGATGTCAATCAGAGGACAGTACAGAGGATTTAGAAAATAGTTGGATGAATCTGATGGTCATTACGAAGGTACGGCAGCTCGGAAAACTCACTCTGAGCGTTCTGATAAGAAAAGAACTCCCGAAATTTGTTGGTGAGGTTTATTTCCATTTTTACGTAATTTAGACACAAATCTATCCGCCACACCCCGTATTAGATTGCATGGTGCAATAGTATATTTTTTTGTCTTGTTTTTGCAGCAGCCATTATTTACACTTGATTTATAGTAAAAATATGTTTTTCATTACCAAATTAGCAACCATTGTGATAGTAATTGTGTGGCGTGTTTGGCTTAGAATATGGCCAAAAAATTCCACCTTTCACCTGCATGAAGTTACCAAATTGCAGTAGTACGCGATGAATTCTGTTCTGAAAAGGAAATTAGTGTAAAAGTAGGCTGTAGCAAAACAAATGTGCATACGTCTACTATAAATTTCCAAATTCCAGTGATATTTAGCGACAATGGCAGAAGTTTATGTCCAAGAAAACCCAGTGTCAGAGATAACCATTCGATGAAGCACATTTTGCTACACGATCACCAAAAAGTTATTGTAAGAAGATACGTGCTGTTATGTTTCAGTGCCAATTCTATGACAGTTTCCCCTCGTCTGCGATATGAGTTTGGTCTGAAATTATTCAAACCGATTTGTAAACTATGGCTAACTATAGTTATGAAATCTAAGCATCTGGTATTTGCTTAGGAACATGAAACCGCGACAGCTGAAAACTGGAAGAAAGTGGGGGGTTTTTTGTTTTGTTTTGTTTTTTTTTTGTTTTTTTCCATATAAATCTACTCAGCAACAGTTATGTGTACAAGAAACATTAGAAGATCCCTTGGTAAGAGATCTGATCAAAAGCATACAATTCAATTTATGAAGTACCCACCAAGCCAGATGATTTGGGTTGCTATGTTCAAATCTGGAACAGCTGGACCCCTTACCTCATGGAACAACGATGAATGATGTAAGGTATGTGGATCTATTGCAGGAGAAACTGGAACTGCATATGCACATTCATCATTGCACAGTATTTATTATGTATGATGGTGCTCAGTGCAACTGGCCAAAGGTTAAGAAATTTTTTAACAGGATCAGCGTGGTGACTGGCCGAAGAACAACTGAGTTTGTGAAATTGTCGAAAACAAAGTTGCAGAAAAACGACTATCAAATACCAAAGTATTGAGTGAGGCTATTAAAAAAATCCGGATAAAGTTTCTAAATACTGTTTATGAATTGAAAGGATCTTGAAAGGAATATTTATTTGAACTGTTAGGAAAGCTTGGTCTATTTGAGAAGGATGTCAAAATAATCCAGAATTTATACTGGGAGAAAAGCACTTGCATACAGATAGGAAATGAATTGAAGGCAAGGATGTGTGGAACTGGAGACCCTACTAGGATTTATCATCGGTGGGTGTAATATTAAAAGATACGCAGATGACATTATATTAATGCCAGATACAAAAATAAAACTAAGCACATGTACCCAGTTCCATTAGGATAACCACTCTAGAGGTAGAAAAATCCGATGAAAAGATATATCATTGTCCTACGTTCCTTTCAATTCATTTCCTATCCGTATGCAGGCGGTTTGCTCCTAGTATAATTTCTGGATTATTCTGACATCCTTCTTAAATAGACCAAGCTTTCCTAACAGTTCAAATATATATTTGTGCTATGCGTCATCAAATGCGTTTGCGTAATCTATAAAGCATTAGCGTATATGTTTTGGCATTAACTTTGCTCTTTCTGATATCAGTCAGATCATAAATATAGATTTTTTTGTTTCACTATCCTTGACAAAGCGTCGTTGTTCTCGTTCTATTTTCATTCTAATACAGTTTCATGCTCTGTTTATCAGAATTCGGATTATTAGTTTGGTTATGTGGCTCATTAAGCTGATTATTCTATGGAGTTCGCATTCATATGCACCTGGTTTCTTAAGGAAAACATTGACTTCAAAAGCAGACAGAAAAGAGGCGGGCTCCGCCGGAATAGATTGTCCTAGACACAAACGCTATTCCTACAACTACAGAATGAATTACGGGTCTCGTGATAGTGATATATGTATAAGAGAAAAACATCAGATTTTGTACTACATATATATTTTGGAATCAGCTAGGGTTTATTCAACATATTCCTTGTGGACCATAAACAAAGACTATTGATTTGTAGAAAATATATGCTGGAACCATTATTTCGCTTTGACGAACGTTCCTGTATATAAAAAGTAACAGAAAGATAACCGAAATTAGGATTTATTTTTTTATAAAAGAGAAAACAAAAACAATCCAATGTCTATAAAGTTTTTTTTATTTTTTTTTTTTTTTTGTTACTATCAGTGCATTTGAATTTTCGAAGGCAATTCGCGAGAGCAGAAATTTTTTTTCTCGTATTTTCGAAACGTGATCGCAATTTATACGTCGGTGTATTTCAGAACTTTTTTTTCCGAAAGATAGACTTGCAGAATTCTAAGAAAAGCAACCCGACTGTTTGAAGCTACTTTTCCAAAACATCGCAAGGTCAAAAATACAGTGATCGATGCTACAAGTTTCTTATTAGTACATTCAGTTTTCCTTGGGGTCTCCCCCCCCCCGCAATAATCTTGCATATCACTAATCACTTCCCCTTTCACATAAAGCTTATGGCCATCTCACATTGAAACACCGGTTCTCGTACGATCACTGAAGTTAAGTAACGTCGAGCCTGATCAGTATCTAGATGGGTGATCGCTTTAGAATACCGGTATATGTAAGTTTCGATGTGCATGTGGTTTAATGGATAACGACTCTGAATTGGAAATCAGAAATCTAAGTTTCATTTCCAGTTGCTTTCGTTATATATGCGCAAATACTATTGGGAAAGGTAGGAATCTACCACTTCTCTCCCATCTATGGGTTAATTAGTAGGATTTGTATCATTATTATCTCAAAACATTCTTATGATTTAAAAATATTTTCTGGTTTTAAATAATCTGTTGATAAACCGTAAAATAAAAAAAATCAATCAATCCCGTTTTACTTGTTACACAAACCTTTCCAAAATTAATATTTAGTTTGAAAAATACAAAAATGTGGCGCAAGGCTAAAAGGGGATGGGGAAGGCTGTTCTTTAATCTGTCTTGCCTTAAACTTAGCGAGACACAATAACTGACCCAAACATACCACAGTATTCTATACACCAAAAGTACATATTCTTACCATTCTTACTACAGCTACCATAATGCATCAAAGTCACTATGAAGTTCTAACTAGTTTCCATATGTAGAATTTATCTTGGGGGATGGGAGACAAAAATAAAAATACTTGTTCAGCTTTTCTTAATTAGTTTATAATCAATTGTCTAATAAAATACATCTTTAAAATTGAATAAAGAAGACAGGTGGAGCGACTGAATTGATCTCCCAAAGAAAATAATCGGTGATCAAGAAAATAATCACGATATGTTTTAATGCATAAATGCATTTGATTGCGTTGATGCAATACCGTGAAGTTAAGTATCAAAGCAATAGACTTTGATCGGGCCAATAGTTACTTCCCAAAGCAAAGATCAATATACATGGTTTTCTGTCGAAATAATTACGGTGATGTCATCTCGTAGGCGTTCATGGACACAGGTTGGCGACAATCAACTTGAAGGAGCGATGAAAATTATTCCTTCGGCAAAGAAATTCTTGTCAGGAAAACAGCCAAAGAGTGATTCATCAAAACCGTCTGATCCTGCTAATTCGGAAGTAATTTTCTTAATTCCAGAGTGAAAATGAAATCTCATTTTAATGGAACTACATAATGTAGGGAGAGTTAATCATCCTTGCAACGAATTTATGCGAAATGTTGTAAATATCTAATCTGGCAACAACCGTTGAGGCTTGATTAATTTCGCAGACTTGATAATGATGTATATATTCACCGATTACTCTTCTATAATGATCAGGCACCAGATTAAGTTTAAAACCCTATTTTGTCGGTAAAGCTTGCTTAAATTCCTAGTGGCTGAAAAATCTTTTTCCTCATATTCAGTACACAACTTAAAGATTAAAAATCGAAACTTGCTTAAAAATTGGACTAAACTATCAGCATTTCATCGACCATGAGAAATACTTATAAACTGCTGGGAATGGCTAAATGATTTGTCATCGACAAGCTTACAGAAATAATAAAATATACGACCGTGGCTACCTACTGGAAAATATTAGGTTGCCACACATGAAATGACGCATTTTTTCCCGATCGTCTAACGAAGTAACCTCCTTAAAATATTAAAAAGATTTTGATTTATTCTTGACTCTTTTTCTTTCCAGATTGGTTTTCTGTCAATATAGTTACTCATAAGCTCAATGAAAATGATTCCAATGAAACAATGTCGAGTAATCTTACTGTATGAATACAAACTGGGGAAAAAGAACGATTTTTGCATTGAATCATTACATACGATGAGAAATGGATACTCTTTGACAACAGTAAGAGAGTAAGCCAGGGATTAGATGCAAGTGAATCACCAAAACAATACTCAAATCCACCATTACACCCTAAAAAGGTTAATGGTTACTCTATGGTTGTCTTTCAAAGGGATTATTCATTATTCATTCTTGCCTCATGGGAAAACAATAACAGCAACTTCGTATTGTGGGGGAAATTAAGTATATGCACGAACAATGAAAAATAAACATCCTAGACTCGTGAATAGGGATGGCCAAATTTTGCTGCAAGACAATACATGGACTCATGCTTTTCAATCAACTGTTCAAACGCTACATAGCCTGAATTACGAAATTTTATCTCATCCTCCATATTCACCAGATATCTCTCTTACTGATTATCACTTAGCTTTTTGTACGTAAAACATTTTGGAGAGGTAATCTAAGCATTTGAACTGTTTATCGCATCAAAGGGTGAGAATTATTTTAAAGATGGGATCAAGAAGACGTACGATGGAGAACAGTCATTCATCCATATGGTACCTATTTCAACTAAATAAATTAGTTATTTAACAATTCAGAAGCGTTTTATTTATTTCCTATAAAGTGTGTGAGAACCTGATATAAGTAGATACATCTTCGTAGCAATTCCTAAGAAAGCAAGGGGAAAATTAATGAGAGATCCAATGGAAAATCTGCTTAATGAACCACATAACAAAGCTTATCATTCAAATTCTGATGAGTAGGACGTGTATCAGAATTAGACTGGAAATAGGACAAGAACAGGTTGGTTTTCTTAAAAACACTGGAACTTAAATGCGATATTTATGATTAAAATATGAGGGAAAGCAATACAAAGATGGGATGCATGTTTCATAGACAACACAAAAGCATTTGATAAGGTAAGACCCAGATTTATTTGAACTACTAGGAAAACTTGTTTTATTTAGGAAGGATAAGTGATCCAAAATTTATACAAGGAACAAATTACCTGCATACGGTTAGAAAATGAATTAAGTACGCAAAAATAGGCGTGCAAGACATGGATGTGTCTCCTCACTGGTTGTATTCAACCTTTCCATTGAGGCAATTCTAAGAGAACCGGGTCCTACCAGGATTTATTACTGGTGGGCACAATATTAACAAGATAAAATACGCGGATGACACCATGTTGGTGGCAGATATAGAAATAAACTACTACATCTCCCAGACAACACCGTAAGGAAAAACAGAAAACAAAGACTATCAATTGTAAAAAAAAGACAGTGTATAGTCCTCAGCAAGAACAAAGATTGGTGTTCCGTATTGGAAGTATCAGTAAATTTCATTAGTGGCTCACTTTGATGAGTCTGACTATAATTTTGATTTTAAAAATATGCCTAACCCAAGACTCATTTATGGTAACTTTAACATCCGGAGAGTGACTTGTCATAAACACTATTTTATGTTTTTAAAAATTAAAAGTAACAATTTTGACAGTGACAAAGTTATGAAAAATGCTTTGTTAAAAAATAAATTCACATAAAGTTAATTTTATATTTTCTTTTCTAATAGTTATTCTTAACGATGCCGAAGTCTGAGGATAACTTTTACTTTTTCTGCATCATTTTAGCTTTTATTTTACACATACGTTAGAGATTTTCTAAAATGTAATTATGGATTTTACTATCCAACCAGAATTCTTAAAATACAGCAAAAGTTTCAAGTATACAATATAAATTCAATTTATATAGTATAACATTTATGACAACAAAAAAAAAAAAAACTAGCAGAATAGTGTGGCGTTACCTGGAGCAAAAGAAAAACTTCAATAAATAAATAAAATCCATTATTAAAGATAACATATCGGGTAACATCGAGTATTATTTTTATGAATACGCCTTAAATATTTTATATTTATAGAATTTTAAAAAATATAATAAAAAAAATTTCGATACATTCAGAATTTATCGTCCATTTTGGAGTAATTTTTTTTTTGTGAATTTGTACATTTATCAGTGGAACGAAAACTGCGCTTTTTTGTTTTATTTACTTTAAAATAAAAGCTGCATAAACATAAATTCACACTGAATCTCCGTTGTAATCCGAACTGTGGAGGATTCGAAATTCGCACATCTATACGGACCATAAATTACCACATCCAAAACTCTAGCATCTTCCAGTATTCGTATATGTAGGTCCTTGCCTCTTTTTCGGTTTAGACATACGAATTGATTCTTGCCTCTTTATCGGTTCAGCCATATGAATTGGTTCTTGCCTATTTATCGGTTCAGACATACGAATTGATTCTTGCCTCTTTCTCAGTTCAGACTTACGAATTGATTCTTGCCTATTTATCGGTTCAGGCATACGAATTGATTCTTGCCTCTTTATCGGTTCAGACATACGAATTGATTCTTGCCTCTTTATCGGTTCAGACATACGAATTGATTCTTGCCTCTTTATCGGTTCAGACATACGAATTGATTCTTGCCTCTTTCTCAGTTCAGACTTACGAATTGATTCTTACCTCTTTCTCAGTTCAGACATATGAATTGATTCTTGCCTATTTATCGGTTCAGACATACGAATTGATTCTTGCCTCTTTCTCAGTTCAGACTTACGAATTGATTCTTGCCTATTTATCGGTTCAGGCATACGAATTGATTCTTGCCTCTTTATCGGTTCAGACATACGAATTGATTCTTGCCTCTTTATCGGTTCAGACATACGAATTGATTCTTGCCTATTTATCTGTTCAGACATACGTATTGATTTTTGCCTCTTTCTCAGTTCAGACTTACGAATTGATTCTTACCTCTTTCTCAGTTCAGACATATGAATTGATTCTTGCCTATTTATCGGTTCAGACATACAAATTAATTCTTGCTTCTTTCTCGGTTCAGACATACGAATTAATTCTTGCCTATTTCTCGGTTCAGACATACGAATTAATTCTTGCCTATTTATCGGTTCAGATATACGAATTGATCCATTTCGGATGTGGAAATTATGGTTTGTACAAGCTACTACAACTTTTATTCTTTTTATTTAAGTCATTCTATAATTGTTTCAAAATAAATTGTCTTGATATTATTTGTTTGCAGTGCGGAAAACTATCCGAAAATGATCAGAAAGTATTTCGCAACAGACCTGGCAAGCAAAATAATATTTTGGTGTTTCGTCTCCCTAAAGATCAGGATGAATAAGAACGGGGTTAAAGGTCATAACAAGAGACTAAAATTCTCACTTACGTTGTTTATGAATGGCTCTTCTATCATTTTATGCAGTTGTGGTTGTATGGTGAAAAGCAAAGTCACTATCTGTATTCAAATAGCGATTAAGTGCAT